GCTGAATTACATGAATAACTTTGACATTAGACCATTACTTTGTTAAATAAATTATCTTTCTCAATTATAAATAGCGTCAAATTCCTGAAAAACAGTTCTCCTCTAAACTTTGTATCTGAAAAAGCTCTGATGCAATGTGAATTAAAACATTGTTTTATTGCTGGCAAAGACAAAGAACTGTCCAAACGGCACAGAACACAGAATTGTGCCAATCTGACTTTGAAATGAGCTAATAGTGAACTTACAAAGAAAAACCTAGGTATTTATTGCTCAGCCATTCTTAGGCCAGTGCCAACGGGGCAGGAATCCAGGTGAGACCCCTTCCCTGCCCAGTTCCCTGAGGAGAATTCCAGGGTCATGGAGCCGGCTCCTGTCCCGCCCGGACGTGGCGCAGCAGCTGGTGGCAATAGGCCGGGGTGCGGTGCTTGAGCGCGGCCCCTTCGACTGCCCGCACCAGCACCTCCGGGTACAACACGCTTCCTTCTTTTAAAACTTCTGTAAAACAAAAGTGTGTTTGATAAATCATTACCTGCTTTCATCTAACGCTTGGAAACACCGTTTAAAAATCGTTAAGAACACACATGGCTGAAAGGCTTACCTAGGACTGCCTTTTGGGTGTCCTCATCCGGGTCGTCGAGGTGGATGAGCAGCTCTTGGTAGAGATACTCCACCTGGGTCTCCATGGAGGGTCTGAGGGGACTGTCCCTCAGGCACTGGAACCAGGCGGCCAAGGCGCCAGCAGCTGCCAGTCGCACGTCACACGAGGCATCGTCCAGACGCTTCACGAGCTCTGGAAAGGAGCACAAACATCAGAGAGTGTGGGGACACCCACGTCATCTTCTGCCTTGCAGAAAACAAAGCCTGTTTTCTCAGCGCTGAAACGATGGTTGCATGGGTGACAGATCCCTGTCACACACTGCACATCGCTCCTGAAAGCACACGCTGCGTTCCCTTCGGATTATTATGTCACCACAAACATTCAAAGACACGTACAGAATTATTCAGGTGAGCTGAACTTGCTCTAGCACTCTTCCTGACAAGGTACTGTATGTCTCTGCTGATGCCCTACAGAAGCACAGAGTGTAAGTTCTTTTCTGCTACAGAAAGCCCAGGATTTCTATCAAATATCACTGTTTCAGTGAACGACTGCGTTGCAGCCTGTGTGAATACACGAGGTGCAAAGACACACTTTGGCAGTTGGCTGTGTAGTTCTCCAAAATATAACTGTTTGTTGTTAGATTTCTATTGTGCCACATAAGAAAAAAGTATTGGTCATTACTGCACCAGGGAGAGTCCGATTTCTTTAGATGTAACTCTGAGAGCACAAATCCTGTCCCTCAGCGCAGGCTGGGCTCATGTTTAGCATTTCAGCCTCATCCTAAGGAGTGGGACAGAAGAGCTCTGTTTGACAGCACCAATCTCTAGATTAGGGTTTGCTTCCTTCTTTTTTTTCTTTTTTTTTTTT